GTTGAAGGATTCGTCCAACTATTTAGCTTCTAATGGTTCATTTAAATTGGATGCTGCAAGATCTACGAATCCAGACGAAATTTCTTGAAAAATATATTATTAGATTGGTGCATATTAAATGTCGGATTTTCTTTACACGCGAACGTTTGACTCCCTGTTTTTGTTATATTTTTGTTTTTGGCATAACCTCGTTTATAGACGTACCGTCAATAGCCAGAGTCGCATTTCAACAAAGAAGATTTTCTCGAAAGAGTTCCAGTTTGTTATTTATTTTGAATTTCATAAGGAGATAGGAATGAATAGGAATTAAACCGATATTCGTGTCATTTTTTTATACGAGTATAAACTTGGTAATAATCCTGCAAAAGCTGCGCGCGATATAAACCCGGCGTTTGGGGAGAATCTGTTAACGTTAACGATCGTAAAGTGCAGCATTAATATGAAAATTCTCGGTCTCGTGATTTTTCCCTGCAAAATGAACCGCGTAGAAGACCCAGAACGTCTGTGAAAAATGATGCTCTGAAAGCATTGGTGGAAACGAATGCGACCGGAGTAATTCGCTGCTCGTTCCTTCGAACTGGGGAGACAATTACGGCCGAAAAGTACTTCCAGTATATTGATGAAACGCATGAAAAATTGGTAATTATATGCCCATCGCTTGTTAATCGGCGTGGCCCAATATTTCTCCATGACAACAATTGCGAAATTAAATGAATTAAAATATGCAATTTTGTAGCACCCAGCTTATTCGCCGGATCTTTAGCCAACCGACGATGAAAATTTGAACCAAAAAATGAAATCTGTTTTAAACATTTGCAACAATTTTTACGGGCTGAACAGTTTGAAAATGAAGACCGTCTGAAAAATTCCATATCAGAGTTTATTGATTCTAAAGATCAGAATTTCTTTAAGCAAATGGAGCATATTTTGATTGAATACACAGGAAAATTTGTTTCTATATTTTGTTTTTTAAAACTTGTAAAAAGGAACAGGCATTTCAGAATCACTTGTTTTCTCGGTATCAGAATGATTTGTTGTGTCATATTTGCATGTTTTCGTGTACATTTTCTTATCCCAATTTGTCGTTTTAGGGCTAAGACAAAAAACATTACTGTAACATTTAAATAAACAGATTGATAATAGAAAAATAAGATCTATCGGAATAATTATCGATAAGACAAAGGGTTAATTAAATTATCAAATGGTTAATTTAATCATCATGTCAGTATGTCAAAAAAATAACGCGACGGTATATTAAAATTTTTTTAAAGTTTTTCTAGGTTTGTGTTTTACTTACTCATTTTTGCTATAAACATGCGATTTGGTAGTCGATATAACCTTCGTGTCGAAAAGATGAAATTGCTATATATACAGAACGCTTCGCAATAAAATGCAAATTTTTAACCTTTTTTAGGTTTACAGCGTGGGAAAAATTAGACTGCTTTTTTGCACTGACTACAGAAATGAATCAGACGAAACACAAAACAGTAAAGACAGAAAATAAATGTGTATTAATTTCATGCCATCTTCTTTATAGTTGCAACGTCTTTCCCGTTTATAAATAAATAAACAACCAAATATTATTATTATTATTATTATTATTATTATTATTATTATTATTACTATAAGTAGAGATCGGGCGTCAAAAATTCATGGCTTTAGAAATCGAACTGTATTTCCTTCAGTATGGAAATATCAGAAATACCGAGATGTATAGAGCGCAGATGTACAGTAACTCTTTCATTCCTCGGAACGAAAGAGTTAAGCGTGTCCAATCGAGAAACGAACGCCAGTGGAAACAAATGCGTTGAAATTCGTGTCGCATCGGTTTCCATGCACGGCTCGCAGTAACGAACCGGACCCAAGCGACTTTAAATGGAACGTATCAATCTGAATAGCCGGTGAATATGATTAATCGACCGCCGACGCGTCGATTTCTCTCGCGTACAGCTCGATCTTTGCTGCTTTTCACACGCTGTGATTCCGATCCTCAATGGATACCATTTCCCACGATCAAAAATGGTGAACAACTACAGAATTTTCTCAATTCGCGTACCAATTGATTAACGGTTTAAATAGAATATGAAATGTTATTAACGTTGAAAATAATTGCTTCATTTATATAAAATTTAGTACAAGAATGTACCAATTAATTAACGATTTAAATTAAATATAATATTATATAATATATTGTACCGATACAGATTTTACGAAACAAAAATGTATAATTTTAAAAGGACCATAATTATTAACAGGCTTATTATGCTTAACCCTAGATTTGCAGATACTAAAAGCAACTATCTTATATTAATTTATGGAACTAACAAACATCGGTTGCTTCAAGCACCAAATATATTGCCTAAATAACTCACAATTGCATCTTCCACAATCCGGATAATCGTGCACGAAGAAATTAGTAAATAAAGAAGCGAATGCTAAATAAATTAATAAATATACAGAAACTATTCAGCAATGGGAAAAATAAACGTTTGGCCCGTTAAAACAGCGAGCAGGTGCTCGTTAAAAAAGCAATAACCGTTAAGATCGTTTACCTGGGACCTTGCCGTGTTTATGGGGCAACAGAGGAGCTTCCATGGTCTTGCTGGTGTAACTGGGCGAGCTGTTCTGGCTGAAGCTGTCCGAAGAAACATTGCTGTCCTGTCGGACGCTGATGGGCTTCGGCACCGGGCTCTGCGATATCGTGCTGAGAGGCGGCGGAATATTCGTCTGGGTCGCCTTCGGCAGTTTCTCCAGTTTCTCACCGCAGCTCCTGTCCTTCCTAAGACCGTGCTGCAGAATGCTGCGTGCTCGGTCCATCTCCATCTCGTATTTGCCACGAGACGCAGCTTCTTGGGACTTGTGATCCGAGTGCAGCCGCCTCTCCAGGTCCTGGGAAGCTCTCTGCAGCTCCTCATATCTGATCGTTCGAACGAAACAATCGTGATCATACGTTAGAATTATGCGTGCCGTCTATAACACAGATTCTCTGTAGGAACTGTGCAGAATTAGGTGCAACGCTATTTCAAATCGGAGATAGAAAATAAATATTTTCGATTATGTCTCGTGCGCACGTATTTATTCAAGTAAAATGTTTTACTCTAAAGGTATATGTATGATAATTAGGGTGACTCTTAGCTGTAGGTAATTGTCCGAAAGTGAAAATTTTGCTGCTCAAATATGGTACATGGTCAGCTTGGAAACAAAAATGGACAATTTGAGAAGAGGAGGTACAACTTTCCCAAAATATCCATTTTTTTGTACAAGCTGAGCGTCGATTAGAGGGAATTTATGGTAGTATACGCGCAACGATTAATTCCGTTCAAAAGCGGTATCCTCCCTATCTCGACCATTTTCTTTTTACTATTTTCTTCTTAGGGAAATTTCTGTAGACACATCCAAGCAACTCCAGAAATTGTTTAAAAACATTCTCGATAAAATTCTCAAAAGTCAATTCGAAAAATTTCTGAAATNAATTGTTTAAAAACATTCTCGATAAAATTCTCAAAAGTCAATTCGAAAAATTTCTGAAATTATATATACAGTATATATATACAGGGTGTCCCAAAAATGTCTCGCAATCCGAAAGTGGCGGGTTCCTCGGGCCATTCGAAGCAACTTTTTCCTTTACAAAAATTTCCTTCGAGGCACCGTTAACGAGTTATTAACGAAAAACAGTGACCGATGAGAGGCGAGCTTGGCTGACGCGAGGCGGCCCAGCGAACGAGTGCACGGAGCCCAGTTCCGCTCATTGGCTCGGCCGTCTCGCGCCAAATGATCTCGCTTCTGATTGGTCAATGTTTTTCGTTAATAACTCGTAAACGAAGCCGCGGATTGCATTTTCGCTAAGGAAAAAGTTGCTTTAAATAACCTCAGGAATCCCCTACTTTCGGATTGCGAGACATTTTGGGGACACCCTGTAGACTGTTGTAAATCGATGCGAAGACAAAACAAGCGTGAAACAATGCATATGAAGACGATTATATAGTGGCGTGTCGTTCTGAAAGATGATATCCGTGAAAGCCACTATAGTGGCGCGTCGTGCCTAAAAGGTTAAAATAGCGTTTCAAATAGTGTTTTTATTTTTATCTTATTTGCGACGCGAGTTGACGTGCATTTTTATAACACGTAATATATTAGGGCTACCGGAAAGTTCTATCCGTTTGAGAAATGAAAGGAAATAATAGATTTCTCATAAATTTAGTAATATTTATTGTACGATATAATTTCCGTCGTTACTTATAACCTCTTGCCAGCGTGGTGGCAATTTGTGAGCAACATTTTTCAAAAATATATGTCTCGAATGGACACGTGCATACCTATCGAAATTTGCAATGACATCAGCAGGCAGAACTTTCCGGTAGACCTAATGTTAATAATTGTCAATATAAAAAATTATATAATTAATTTATTTATATATATTAATTGTATAATAATTGTCTAATATAAAAAATGTCAATATTAAACAAAAACGTCAAGAGTCACAAAAATACTATAAAAAAATAAATATTTCTCGTATTATACCGTCTGATTTTAGTCAACAGCATTAAGGAAAAAAATAATCAGTTGAAGTGCAAATTTCTGTCGAAAATACGAAGCGATCGCGCCGGTGCAAGGAGCAATTACGTGGACGGGCCGGCCGTGGAAGCAATATCTCGGCTTATTAGAAAATCGTCTACCTGGTGGGTGGCCTCTCCTTGATCGCGCGCAGATTGTCGTCCTCCTCGTGCAGCCGTCTCTCGAGCTTCCTCGAGGCCGCCTGGAGCTCCTCGAACTTGCATCTCTTCTCGGTCTCGCGACGCAACCTCAACAGCGCCGCAAACTTGGTCTCGTCCTCGTGCACGGCCTCCCTCCGAGACGGGGCTAATTTTTCTCGAGACTTTCCGTCCGCACCCTCGTCCAGCCCCTCTTGTTTGCCGAGCTTCGACGACGGAAGCCTGTCGAACCGGGGCAAGTGTCGTAACGACAGATAGAAAAAGTTCGAGCCGGCACGCGAACGGCCACCGGTTAAATTAACCCCCTTCACCTACTTCGTCGACCAGCGTCGGCTGATTTATTAAAAAAGTACCAGCACCGACGTGTACGTCGAACGAATCTACAGTCGATAATTGTGCTTATGCGCGTCAGATCAGGCTGCCTGGTTTCGTTAACCTCGATCACTCGCTGGATTAATCGATCCGAGAAAATTCATTTTTTTAGTGCTCGCTTTCTTCACTTGTACAATTCTTTTATCTTTCACCAATGTTGTCAGATCGACGTAATTTAATGTAGAAGCAATTTATTGGGTTGGCAACTAACTGCCGATTTGTTCAATGAAATAAGAAATTTTTTTTTACTTGGAACGAAGTTTAATCTGTAATGTATTTTCCATTTTGTTCGACGACCTTTTGCCATCTCTCCGACAACTTGAAAATTCCACGCTCGTAGAAAGTCTGATCCTTTTCGGCCAAAAACTGAGTTAACTGAGATTCTACAGCGTCGTCGTCGTTCAAAGTTTTACCACGAAGGGAGTTGTCCAGAGATCGAAATAAGTGGTAATCCGATGGCGCGAGATCCGAGCTATATGGTGGGTGTAACATCGATTCCCAAGCAATATCCATCAATTTTTGCCGAGCGGACAAAGACGTGTGCGGCCTAGCATTGTCCTGCTGGAAAATGACACCTTTACGATCGACCGATTCTGGTCGCTTTTCCTTGACCGCTGCATTCAATTTGTCCAGTTGCTAACATTCGCGGATAATAAAAAATAACATATAATAATAATAATAATTTTATAATATAACATTTACGGATATGATAAAAATGGGAGTGAGAGACGTCTA